AACAATGAAAAACGCGTTTTTAATTAAAATATATTTTCACTTTTTTTGAAAATAACACTCACACTTATGGCAAAATAGATGAGGGCCATCGTAGGGGGCCGCATGGATCGCCCTCATGATCGATTAGCAAAATTTTCTAAGTCCAAAATTCAAATATTTTTTTATCACCAAAAAATTAATGTTTATAATGATTCAGAACCACGAAAAACGCGTTTTTAATAAAAATATATTTACACTTTTTTGAAAATAACACTCACACTTATGGCAAAATAGATGAGGGCCACCGTAGGGGCCCGCATGGATCGCCCTCATGATCGATTAGCAAAATTTTCTAAGTCCAAAAATCAAATATTTTTTTATCAACAAAAAATGAATGTTTCCAATGATTCAAAACAACGAAAAACGCGTTTTTAATAAAAATATATTTACACTTTTTTGAAAATTCGCCTGAGATGATTCATGATAATAATCATAAAGCATATAATTAATTATATTTTATAAATTGCATTTGATTGGAAAATATAATTTAATATCTTAACTTTAACTAAATGATGTTAAGCACTTTTCTTTGTTAGGTATTTTTCAAGTTTAAATAGCATCAAGAAGTTAGCATTCGTTTTGAAGTAGCGTGCGTAGCGTAGTTGGTAAAGCGTTAGACTCATAGTCCGTAGGTCGTAGGTTCGATTCCCCCCATGCGTTAGATTTATTTATTTCTCAGGTTTGCGTTTAATCATTAATTCTATGTATGAATTAATTGAAAAATGAAAATATCCGTTAATAGTATGCATAAATTAAATATTTTTTAATTTTTTAATTAATTAATTTATTATTACTTTTAATTATATCCGACAGTTAATTAATTAGAACGTTAATTAATAAATTCAATTTGAGTAAGAATTTAATTTAAAATTGAATAATTATTAAATAAATATGTTATTTATTCATAACTTAAGCTTATTTATTATTAATTAACTTTTATTATTAATATTATTGATTAAAAAACATTATGGCAAACTTGAGGGCAAGATGAGGGCAAACGTGAGGGCCCATAAGGGCGCCCGTAGGGGCACCCTCATGGATCGCCCATGCGGGCGCCCTCATCGATGAGCATGTCGTTTCCATGAGGGGCCCCTATGGATCATCCATATGCGCCCCTCATGGCATGAGGGCGATCCATAAGGGCCCCCGCTGGGGGCCCACATCACTTTTCCACACGGGTAGTAATTAAAAATTTAAAAAAGGGTAATAATTTATCAAATAAAGAAAAATATATTACATAAATCCTTTTTTGAAAAACTAACTTGATAATTCATTTTATTTACTACTACGTTTCTTAAGTTTAAATTTATTTTAATTATTAAAAGTGTTTGGGAATTTCTTTAAAACTGTTTTTCCTATAAATTTGATATTAATGAATAATAAACAAGAATTTTGATTTTATTATTATAATAATAGGAATAATTTTGTTCCAATAATTTTTGGTTTTTCAGATCTAAATTGTAAAAAATTTTTAAAATAAATACGTACTATAAAAATATTCTTGGGCACTATTTGTAAATTTGATCACATCAAAGAAAGAATATTTGAGGATGCAAAACTCATTTCAGGAATGAGAATCGAAGTTAGTCTTATGGCACTGAATTTTCTCTATCATGATACAAACAAATATTTACTCAATTTGTGGAGTCAAAAAGGACCAAATTATTTGCAACTTTTTATAGCATTAAAGCAAAAAATTAATAAAACAGTGATTAGAGATGAGAAATTTTATGAATGTTTCTTCCTCCATTAATGTCTTCTTTCCAAATAGTATGGCAATTGTCGTCACAGCGCAAATATCTATTTGGAGTCTTTGATTTAAAGAGTCGAAAACAACAATTGATGCACAGTGCAGTGGTGTGAAATTCGTTGACTGTTACAATTTTTAATCGTCGGCTGCCAAGTTGTTTTGCTCGATTATCAAATGTTTGCTTTAATTGATTCATTGGAGTTCCAGCATATCCTAGTGTAAAATTTGGCATTTTAGCATTGCCAAATGCAACAAAACATGGTTTTTCCAATGTATCTCCAATAAAAAAATTTACCAGCTTTTCACACTCTCGTTGATGTGACATGTATTTGTCCATTTTTAATCTAATTAAAGCTTTCTTTTCGTGAAGTTCTTGAAATTTCGTGAATAAATGAATTTTGTAATTCACTATTCGTTTGAAATCACGAGGATTTTTATTAGAGAAATTTTCCATGTTTGGATTTTTGATGACATATTCTTTAAAATATTTCTGTAAATCTAAGCCAAATTTTTTCTTTTTTTCCTTTCGCAGATATACACTTATCTGCCAACGAAACCTGCTACTTTTGAGGTGTATTGGTTTGTCTTTAGATTTATTTTCTGAAGAAGGATTTGGATTTCCAAATCTTCTAACACCGCCCAACATTATTTTTTTACCGGGGTCAAATCCGTAAAAAACTTTGTATTTTTCTTCTTTATCTTCTGTAATGGATTCTTTTCTAAATTTGGGAACATCGAATAATACAGAAACGTCGACTCCATTAGTAGATATTGCCTCGGAAAATGCACCCTTCTTTCCTCGTTCGGTTTTTGAAAAATCAAATAAATAATGCCAACGATCAATTTTTTCTTGTAAACTCAAGAAACGTTTTACTTTAGTACTTTTCTCACGTTGAGCTTCTTAAATTTTTATTTGTTTTTGTTTAGACGATAATGAAGAGTCGCTTTTAATTTGAATTTCTTTTTTTTAATTTCTTATTTTCTGCTCCCAGCTTGAGGTCCTGCAGTCCTGACTTCGAATAAAGCACATGAGCTACACCAAGTTGAGCTTGTGGTATAACGACAAAATTGTGAATATTTTTATCGTGGAAGAATTGTTGAACGCGAATCATTAATGGAATAAATGTATGCCACTCAGCAATTCGTTCATCGTCTTCTCCATCATTAACGTTCCTTTTTAAATTTCGAAAATCCAATTTTTCATTTTTGATCAAAAAATTTTTAAAATCTTTAATATTGCATTTATTTGTATCTAATAATAATTCTAATTGCGCAATTGCTTTATTTTTTAATTCAAGTTTTGAATTTCTTAAGAAATCTTCCGTCTTTACTTTATTTTCATTTTCTAATTCTTCTTCTTCCTGTCGTCGGTTTCTTCTTCTTCGTCTTCTTTTTCGAGTTTTTTTTCTTGTAGCACAACTTTAGAAGATGAGAATTGTCTCTTGATCGACTTTCAATTCTTTCTTAAATTTGAGCTTTTAAGATTTCTTTTTTATTTCTCTCAATATTATGATGTTGCCCTTCTTCTATTAGTAGTTTTTTTTGACGACGTTTAGCTCTAAATTTTTTTCGGTTCTTTCGCTTAGCTCTATTTTGAATTCTTTTTTTATTTTTTTTTATATGTGACATCAAATTATCATTATCATTATAATCTTGATTAAATTGTTTTTTGTTGGTCGATGATACTGCTTCATTTTTATAACTTGAATCATTATTTTCATTTGACAGTAAATATTTAAGTAATCTAATCATTCTACTTTCAAAGTGAGTTAAAAAATTTAATTTAAATTCTTTGTCCATTTTGCGAGCTTCTTCTTGAATGATAGATGTTTGATTTTCACAGTCATAAAGTGGAATATTGCCTCTTGTTAATTTATACTCATCAATCAGTTCATAAAATTTCTCATCTCTAATCACTGTTTTATTAATTTTTAATTAATGAATTATTAAGTTAGTTTTTCAAAAAAGGATTTATGTAATATATTTTTCTTTATTTGATAAATTATAACCTTTTTTAAAAATGTTTAATTACTGCTATTAAAAAATATTAATTTATAATTAAAAATTTCTTTGTTTTTTATTTAAAATATTTCTAGACTTTTTATAATGAGCAAAATTTTTCTCAAATATTTATATAAATATATAATAAAATTTGTATTTGATAAAGAATTTAAAGAAATTTAATCTTATTTACAAATGGTATTATTAGTTTTGAAAATTTGAGTTATCTTTTCACAGAATTAATTTAAGTATTACATGTGTACATTTTTTTTGTTGACCTTTCAATATGTTCTATTTTCTTTCATATATACATACTTTGTATTTGGTATATATATATATATATATAAGACTTTTCAAAGTCACTGATTCAAATCATACTATGTAAATTATTTTAAATATATAATTTCTAATAAAAAAAGTATGTTTTTCTTATTATTATTATTATGCAAAATACTTTGCACTAAATAATGGGAAATTTAATTTTTACGAAATTTAATTAAATATTTTTTGCTTCCTCGTGGAGGAAGCTTTGTAGTCCTTTCGTTTATAAAACTTTTCAAAGTGGCGGAAACAAATTTTTTTCTTTATAGAAACATGTTATATGAGATCCTGATCAATTGTCCGGATGTATGTATGTGTGTGTGTATGTGTGTGTGTGTGTGTGGATCCCTTTTTTGTTTAGAAGATAACTTTAACAGGTTTTAATGGATTTAGATAAAATTTGGTAGGCTCATTTATCATATTAATATCTCAAATCTGACCAAAGGATTTTGAAAAATATCCCAAAAAAAAAATTTTATCGCCTTTTTTCCAAAAATTTTTTTTTAATCGAAAAAATTTTTAAATAGAAAAATTTAAGGTTATATATAATAAAATCGTATTCCTTACGTCAAGACGAATCGATCGATATATATAAAGTATTCATTTGAGGTAAATTTGAAGAATTAATGAAAGTTAAAAAATCAAAAATCAAAAATTCTGAATTTACAACTTTTTCCTTTGTAATCATAAAAAATACTATTATTTAGTTTTTTCCATTTTATTTTTTTTTATATTTATTTATATTTAATTTTAGGATAAGTTTAATTATTTTTTAACGAAACTCAATTTAGTAAATAGCCCCATTAAATTGAAAAAAAGAGAGAAGAATTTAGTGGAGATTCGTGTAAATAAATATAAACTTGATGGATGGTTTTAAGAGGTAGCTTACCTTAGTGAATGTAAGTGTTGCGATTGGAGGCAGACGTGGTAAATTCGGATAGAAAAAACTTCCTGCAGGATGTGCAGGATATCTCGACGTGATCCTATAGGCAATCCCTTGGGGTTGTGTTGGCCAATTGGCAGCCGTGAAAGTAAAGCCGTTGTCAGTTCCGCCATCCAATGGGTCAAGCTATAAAAAAAATACGCAACCTTTTAAAAAATATTCCCAAAAAATTAAAATTATAATAGTAAAGACAAAAAAATTTTTTCCTTTTTCTTATAAAGTTTTCATATAATGAAATTTTTAAGTTTTGAATTCTCTGCATAAATATTTGAGATTCATTTAATTTAGATAAAAAAAAATTTTCTTTTTTAAGATGCAATTAAAAATCTCTCATTGATAAGCCATTTACAGATTTATTATCAAATTTCTTTTCAAGCGAACTCCTTAAGTTTTAAATCGAGTATATAAAGTTCTGTGAAGAGATCACAAGTTTTCCTCGCGTTTATTGAAACCCGAGCGAAAGTTGAAAAGTAATTTTCTTTAGCAGTGAAACATCGCTGACTTACAAAAAAATAAGAGGAAAAAAAAACATTTCAACATTTCCTCTGCAAGTGATTTTTTAATAAAAAAAAAATAGAAGAAAGAAAATAAAAAACGCTGTTTTCAAACTCTGCTTTTCTTAAAAAATAAGTAACATTTTCCAGTTATTGATATTTTCTAATAAACTATTTTCAAAAGAAAACGGAGAAACGATATATTATTATTATTTATTATAAATTAATGAATTATTATTATTATTATTATTTGCATCATTGTCTTGTATTAGTTATACGAAACTTGTGAAATTGGTTTAAGTTTTTTTTCAAAGAAAGTGTAAGCAGTTAAGTAGATACGGAACTGTTGGTTCAACACTGAAGAACATGTCCAACTCTAATCGTCCGAACTTTGAGAATAAACTTGGAAATTAGTTTACACTAAGAAATTCCAAATTCAATTCAAATCAGTTTACATTATCCCCATTATTAATTACAAGTACTTAATATTCCATTTTATATGTAAAATATTGTAAAAAGTTTCTTTTATTTTTAAATAAAATTATTAAAATATATTTTGTTATTGATATTTTTCTAAAAAATTAAATGAATTTATTGTACCAGGAAAGAGTGTAAAAAAATGTAAATATACAAAAAAATAAAAAAAAATTATTTTTTTAAACAAATATTTAACGCCTCGGAGGTGAAAATAAAGTTTAAAACTTTAAAATATTTGCAACAAAAAAATGTTTAAAAACCGAAAAATTTTTTATTCAAACAAAATATTGAAAAAACAAAGCTTAAAAATTAAAAAAGGAAACGAATTTTTTGTTCTCTGTGTTATAACTCGAATGAACATTAAATAAATAAAAAAAAATAAATAAACGTAACTAAAAATAGTAAATAAAAAAAGAAAAAAAAATTGTAACGTTTGGATAGTAAATAAAGAGAAACAAGTTTCCAATATCCTGTTAATTACTAGCGCCTGTGAGCGAAGCTCAACACCTGACTTGAGTTTTGATATCTTTAGAGATTTCTTTTTCCGGAAGTATATATAGTTCGTAAAAGACGAGTGAAAGAAAAGCACAGAGAAAAAATTTCTCTCTCTCTCTCTCTCTCTTTCTTTCAATATATATAAAAATTTCTAAAGTGATCAAATTAAAAATAAAAATTTTTTATATTGGATTCCATTCAAATTTTTGTGGTTATTCGAATTTCTAAATGACAAAAAATTCAAATTCATCGAATTATAATTTGTTCGAATTTTTATTTTTGCAATTTTTTTAATTGATACAATTTTTAAGATGCCAAATTTTTATTTGTCCGAAATTACAAATGGCCGAACAAACCAATCGACAGAAAGATTTCGGCGCAAATTTTTAAAGTTATTCACCAATCACGATTTTTTTTTTTGATAATTTCAAATTGAGCAATTTCCAAAAATTGGGCCGAATTTTTTCTGTCGATTGGTTTGTTCGGTCATTTGTAATTTTGGACAAATGAAAATTCGGCGTCTTACAGATTCGTACAAATAAAAATTCGGCGTCTTAAAAATTCGTACAAATTAAAATGCGGACAAATTAAATTCGGCGTCTTAAAAATTCGAACAAATTAAAATTCGTAATAATTAAAATTTGGCATCTTAAAAATTTGGACAAATTAAAATTCGTAAAAATTAAAATTTGGTATCATAAAAATTCGGTGTCTTAAAAATTCGTACAAATTAAAATTCGGCGTCTTACAGATTCGTACAATTAAAAATGCGGACAAATTAAATTCGGCGTCTTAAAAATTCGTACAAATTAAAATTCGGCTTCTTACAAATTCATACAAATAAAAATGCGGACAAATTAAATTCGGCGTCTTAAAAATTCGGACAAATTAAAATTCGTAAAAATTAACATTCGGATAAATTATAAAATTCGGTGTCTTACAGATTCGTACAAATAAAAATTCGGACAAATTAAAATCCGGCTTCTTAAAAATTCGTACCAATAAAAATTACGACAAATTAAAATCCGGCTTCTTAAAAATTCGTACAAATTAAAATTCGTAAAAATTAACATTCGGATAAATTATAAAATTCGGCGTCTTACAGATTCGTACAAATAAAAATTCGGACAAATTAAAATTCGGCGAATTGAATTTTCTGTCAATTAAAAATTCGCACAAATAAAACTACCTATTTTTATATTTTTCATAAAGAATTTGAAAATAAAATTTACAAAAAAAATTTTTCAATGAAAATTTAATGTAGAATGCCCCATATACAAAAAAAAGAGTGAAAGAGAGAGAGACTCACCTCGACAGTAACTGTATCCACCCAGTTGCCTTCGACGCATAGTTGGAAGGAATCGACCCCAATGAACCAATCAGGACTTGGATTGATACGAGCCACTACGCTGATGAGAGAATGATTGCCATCAAGAAATGCCCTCGCAATACTTGTACCTTCACCCTGAGGCACTGAAGGGCCAATGAACGATTGTAAGATGTTTGGAAATTCACCCCCAGTATCAAGACCATCCGTCCTTCCTGTCTCAACGTATTGCCTCACACCAGACGAAAGTCTCTCACCCAGATGGTAAAGGGTGTAGGTGGCGTCGTGAGTTCGACCTGCAAAAGTTGTAATTAATTGGATGAAATCTAATTACCTTCCATCTTAAAATCCGGCAAATTTCAACCGAAAAGCTGTAATCCGATAATTTTCAGAGAGATGAATAATTTTCTCTGATTTCATTTTCCTTCATCAAAAAGCGGATTATATATATATATATATATATATATATATATACATATACGAATGGAAATTTTAATAAATAATATTTTTTTTTGTCTGAACAAAAATTGACTTGTACCTACTAATTTTAAAATAATTTTGTCTGACTAAAAGTTACTTTAACTACTGTAATTAAAATTATACAATACATAATACAAGCGTCCAACTAAAATTTACTTGTACTACTAATTTTTTTTAAAAAAGTGACTCACTAAAAATTACTTTGACTACTGAAATGAAAATAAAACACAACTTAATACAAGTGTCTGACTAAAATTAACTATAACTACTAAAAATTAAAATAATATAATACTTAATACGAGTGTCTGACCAAAAATGACTTGTACTACTAATTTTAAAATAATGTTGTCTGACTAAAAGTTCCTTTACTACTGAAATTATAATAATACAATACATAATAAAATCGTCTGACTAAAATTCACTTGTACTACTAAATCTTAGAAAAAACTGTGTGATTGAAAATTACTTTTACTACTGAAATTAAAATAAAACAAAAATTAATACGAGTGTCTGACCAAAACTGATTTGTACTACTAGAATTAATTATAACAGGAAATAAAAAGTTTGTTTCATTAAAAATGACATGTACTACTAACTTTAAAATAATACTGTCTGATTGAAATTTACTTTTACTACTGAAATTAGAATTTAATAATAATTTACAAGTTTGTCTGACTAAAACTAAGTATTACTACTGAAATAAATATTGAAAAAAAAATTTTTTTTGACTAAAACTGACTTGTAGTATTAAAAATAATTCTGTCTAGCTAAAACTATAATTTTTACTACTTAAAGTAAAATAAGAAAAATTCATAACACTGTATGTCTGACTATAACTCACTCTTACTACTGGTATAAAAAAAAATTTCGAAAATACTATTTGATTAAAATTCTCCTTTTAAAATAAAAATATTGATATTATTTTTCTGACTGAAACCATCTTTTACAACTGCCATGCAAAAATGTTAAATATTTAAAGCATTTTGTCTGACATAAATATTCTTTGACTACTGAAATTCAAGTTATACATGAATTTGAAACATTTTGCCTTGCTTCTAAACCACAATATATTAGAAATTTTTTTATTCTGTTATTTACATCCTGAGAAGTGATATATTTGTCTCAGAGCCAAGTAAATATTTGTCTCAAATAAATTTTATGTAAATTAAATAAATTTTATTTGCATCAAATAAAAACTGTATTTACTCTGAATTAAATTTTAATTCGCTTCAAATAAATGCAAATAAAATATTTGCACTGCGTGAAAATGTAAATTAAAAAAAAATAATTTAATAATTTTATCAAAAAAAATACATGAAACAGAAAAAAAATTTAAATTAAATTCCACACACTTAAAAACAAATTATCCGCATAAAAACTGTCCCTTTAATTATCGTTACACAGTTTTCTTGGTTTAATTATACTTTGAAAAAAGAGAAAGAAAAAAAAATACAAAATAAAAGACAATGGCGTTCATTTGTATTTTCTAAATCAAAGAGATTATTCTCAATTGTTTCTGTAAAAAAAAAAAAAAATATATATATATATATTTTTTTTACAGAAGACTCAAAAACAATTGCGATTCAGAGACGACAAAGTATAGTAGGAAAAAGGGGGTAGAAAAATAAAGAAGAATAAAAAAAATGAAAAGAATGGAGATGGGATCGTTCGCTTAATGGCGTGATCGTTACAGTCTTTTTTCTTTCTCCCCTCACACCCCCTTTTTTTGTAACCCATCTCCGACCCTTGAAAAGGGAATGTGGATAATTTAGATAGAGAAAATAGTCAATAAATGGAGAAAATAAATTTATGATCAATTAATGCACTTTTAAAATAATATTTTGAAAAAATAAAATATTATCAACGCATCGTTGTTGAAAAATGAAAAACTCCTTGAGATGATATCTCCAGTATTTTGGTCTCAAAGGGTTTTTCTTTTCTTTCATCGCGCATGCATCTTCATCTTTATAACATATAATAGTCCCACCAGAATGTCGTTGTGTCTTAATTTCCCTCGTGGTGTTTTAAAATTATAATTTTTATTCAAAAAAAAAAAAAAAAATTTTGTTATATAAATGTTAATTTTCCGTTCTATTTATATTTATATAAATTATTTATTTATATCTATTTATTATATAATTATATAATATATATATAAACTAATTCGGTTTTTGTACTTTATTTGACTTTCATTGCGTAATACTCTCTTTTTTTATTTTATAAAGTCAATAATATTATTTCACGCATTTTGCAGAAGTATCAAATGATTTCTGACCAATTCAATATATATACATATATTCAAACAGAATAGCAAATTTCATTTCGAGAGATATGTGAGTACCTACATTAAGCTTTTAGAGTTTAAATATAAAATCGTTATCGAGATATCAAAACCGGATTGTGCAGGAGAATTCAATTCTATTATAGACGGCAAATATATTTTTTTTATTTATTAAAAAGGAGATGTATACTGTTAGTTAAAAAAAAAACAATTCAGAGAATTTTTCAAATAATATATAGAATCGTTATGAATTTAATTCTTTTTGTTTGCTCTTTATCAGAAAAAAAACATCATTAAAAAAATAATTGGCAATTTTTTATATGCTCTTAAATTTTTTATATATATTTAAAAATTTAAATATGTTCTTCTTTTAACAATAAAATATACAAAAATAATAAAATAATATTCCTTTTTTCAATATGAATAATTAAATAAATATATGTTTAAGAAAAAAATTATTTGATTCAAATGTTTGTTATTTGACTAAATTATAAAAATAAAATAAATATTTCCCTGAAATATTTTTTGAAAACGAAAATATAAAAATTACCGCCTTAGAAATCTACCTTACCGACTGATGGTAAACATATTTTTGAAAAATAAAAAATATGAAAAATTACCGACATAGAAATCTACCTTACCGACTGATAGTAAAAAACTCTAGAATTCTTTCCAAAAAAAAAACTTTACCGTCAGTAGGTAAGGTAGATTTCTATGTCGGTAATTTTAATATTTATTTAAAAAATCTGTTTTACTATCAGTCCGTAAGGTAGATTTCTGAGGCGGTAATTTTTATATTTTCGTTTTCAAAAAAAAGCTGTTTTACCATTATTCGGTAAGGTAGATTTCTAGGGCGGTAATTTTTTTATATTTTTATTTTTCAAAAAATTTTTTTGAGTGTGGTATAACTTTTTCCATTAATAGCAAATTTTAATGTAATGATACAAACAACTGACGTAATCACAATATAAATGAAATAAGAAGATATGTGTGTTAATTGATGATAATCACAATCCACTCGCGACGTCAGTGGCGACCCTAATCTGTTTTGCCATGTCTTTCTTTTTTTTTTTGTCTGAAAATTGAGAAAAAGAGCTCTAATTTGTTACGAGTGCTATGGGACATTTCATAGCACTTATACGAGGTCTACATCCATTTTACTGGTATATGATCAAAGACGAAGGAAAGAGGAGGTCGAAAGATCTTTCCAAGAGCGCGCACTATGCTGTATAGAGACGCAGTATTAATTAATCTAATTAACGAGCAAGCTCCTAAGAAACTTGAAAGAGAAATGATTTTTCAAACTTTCAAGCTTAAGTAAATGATAGACACACCATATTTCAATGTATATATATATATATGTATATATATATATATATATACTGAAAAAAAAATATTTTTCCACGGTAATTTTCCGTTAACAAATATTTTATTTAAAAATAGTATAAAAAAAATTATAATTACATCCAGACAAATGATATTATATTTGTCATAGAGGTAAATAAATTTTATTTAGTTGAAATAAATATTTATTTATGCGATAATAGTCAAAGTAATCAATATTATTTTGATTGAAGTAAAAAAAATTTTTTTTTTTTTTGCAGTCTTCGCAAAAAAGAAAATTATGCGAAAATAGAGAAATTTGAAGAAAAATATCAAGATGCGTAGATATATATAAAGTGTGTAGAGATGATGGAAAGTGAAGAAAACTAACAAACAGAGATGGAGTTATGATGGATTTTGCAAGGAATTGTAAATTGTTCGTAGTTCTCGAGTTTCTTGTATAATGCATAAGAATATATATATATATATATATATATATATATATATATAAAAGTATATACTTTAAGGATTATCACCCGAAAGAGAGTTTTCGGAGAGCGACAGAGTAACATACTTTCTCTTCACAATTTTCCAGACAGTGTCAGAGTCACGTCTCTCCCTTTTTGTCTGTCCTAACTTTCCACCTCTTCATCTTCGTCGAAGCTGGCGTTTCAAACAACTTCTCTTTCTCTCTACTATGTATTTGTCTTACAAATTTTCCTCCCAAAAATTATTAATCATTCGATCATCAATTTATAATGAATAATTAGATTCTGCTTTTAATCTTATTTTTTTTTTAATCTTTTACTTTGAAAATTTTTTTTATTTTTTTTTAATTCAAGAATAAATTATATGAAAAAAAATAAATTTCTTTTTTTATGTAAAAAGATTTATATTTAGAATAGAAATTATTAATAATATTGCAAAAAAAAAAGGAATATTCTAATTATAAATTAAATTTTTTTTCTGATAAAAAAAAACTAATTTCAAAGACCAATTTAAAACATGATCTGCAATAATTTTTCCTCCCTACCAAAGTAACTCTATTCGTCTTTTTAACGCGTCTGGCTCTCTCAGACTTCTCCACCCTCTTCTTGTCGACTAAATTCAAGTCCTGACGCTCGAATTACCCGCTGGCACCGGTGCCAAATTATGGAATAATAAGGCCATACGAATCTACTTCCGTATATATGAAAATGACAAAATGAGTAT